CCATTTCCTTATGCATTTGCTTATGCTTATATATAGACCAATCAATTTCCTTATGCTTATGCGTTATGCTTTATGTAAAAGCTTGTGCTCTCGGCTTTAAGATTAAGTTAAGACTAAGGCCGGTATTCATAGGGCGGTATTCATAGTCCGTTCTTATATTCAAGATCGTCTTAAGCACGAACTTATATTCGCTCTCTTTGTCAGACACAATCTATGTGTGACGAAGAGAGCGAATATAAGTCCGTGCTTAAGACAATCTTAAATATAAGAACGGACTATGAATACCGACCATAGTCATTTCTTATATTTAAGATCGTCTTAAGTCGTCGTCATCGTCGTCTTAAGATACTAATATGGCTTTTTGATTGGTTCGTAGCATTTTAAGACAAAACTTAAGACAATCTTAAATATAAGAACGGACTATGTGACACAATCTATGGGCGGTATTCATAGTCCGTTCTTATATTCAAGATCGTCTTAAGCACGAACTTATATTCGCTCTCTTTGTCAGACACAATCTATGTGTGACGAAGAGAGCGAATATAAGTCCGTGCTTAAGACAACCTTAAATATAAGAACGGACTATGAATACCGGCCTTATGTGTGATGAAGAGAGCGAATATAAGTCCGTGCTTAAGACGATTTTGAATATAAGAACGGACTATGAATACCGCCCTAAGACTAAGATTAAGATTAAGACCGAAGCATAAACCAGCCATCAATTCAATTCAGTGCAGTTTGAACTCAGTGCAGCAATAAATAAACTTGTGTTGATCCTTCATGTGCTATCAAAACTGCTTTTATCCTATCAAGCATGAACACAATAATATGTAGGTGGTCATGTTTTGGCTTATCAGTGTATTGTCTTTAAAAGTATATTAAAATATCGCCAGCATGTAAAAAATCCATGTATAAAAAATTGAAAAATTCACATCTTTTAAATTTTTATTATAAAACATATAAAACATATAAAACTATATTAATGATCTTAATATTAACTGCAATTATTTACATTTTACATCATATTTTTTGCATTTTATAAACTTTTAGACAAAATTATTGTCACTTTACTCACATGCAATAAAATATTAGTGGGTTATATATTATTAATTTAACAAGAGTGGGATATCAACTGTTCCAACTCCTGTACTCGTTGCTCCAACTCCTTTATGGTCTTGGATCGAGAACGACAAACGTTCTTCATAATCTGTTTTTCCTTTTCCAATTTCGTTATTTTTACTTCGTCCTATGTAAAAGCATATTATTATATAAAACAGTAACTGTAAGTTGCGACAATAATATAAAAAATATTAGTTATTTCAGTTCTGAAATATTAATGTACTTACTTCGATTATGCCACTATTTGAACCACAAAATCGTAATACGTTAATCGGTATCGTTTGGCACGCTTGAGTCCTTCTATTTACAAATTTCTGCTTACACACATCACATTCCTTCGTGTTAGTACGCAGCATTAGCCGTGCAACTTCAGCCTTTAGCTCGCTATTCTGTAAAAAAGAAAGTCATAATCAAATCTATAATTCCTAAAACGATTATAATAATTAAAATATATTAAAGTACCTTATTTTTGTAAGCAGATAGGAGTTCCTGCAATTCTCTACATTTCATTTGATAAGGGAAACTTCCGCTTCGTATTTGCAGTTCTAACGTCGCAATCTTTCCATTCTTCGATACAATTTCCAACTGCAATTCCCGTATCTTATTTTGTAACGCCGTATAACTACATTCACCATCATGAGACTTTTCAACTTTGTCAAACGATACGTTCCTCTCCGTACATTGCAATAGATCTTGATTTTTTTTCTCAAGATCTTGAATCTTCTTTTTTAGTTCTTCAATTTCATTACGACACGTGTAATATTTATCTTGAAGCCTTGTATTATCAACATCATATTCGCGAATAACATTCGCCAATTCTTCTAGTTCTTGATCAAACTCCGTATTTTTCTCTGTCAATTCCTTGATCTTGCTAATATAATTCTCGATTTCTTGGTTCTTTTGATTCAATTGAACTTTTGTCGCTTCTAATTCCAAAGCAACTTTGTTCTTCTCTTGTAGTAAGACATCATACTTTTCATAGTTTGAGGTATCATTATATTTAAATGTGTACGATGATAGTGTTTCCTTTAATTCCTGATTGTCCTTGCACGTTACTTTATACTGACTATTTAAAGTAACCAACTGTTTCATCAAGTCAGTTTTGGTAGCTTGTAACTCTGTTATTCGATTGCTAGCACCGTCTAAATTATTTCGCAAAGATTTATTCAAGTCCTTCAATTCTTCCATTTGTTCCTCAGCTTGGACTTTACTAGTACTATTTCTGACCTTCTTCTCCAATATGACACACTTATGCTGTAATGTCAAGTAATCATCCTTCAAAGCATTCATTTTTTCTGTCAAGGCACTATTCTTGTTATACAATTCAGTTATTTGATTGTTTAATTCAACACTTTTCATTTCTTCAATGTTTAATTTATCCTTAATCACGTCGATCTCTTCCTTCTTTTCCATTTTTAGTTTCTCTATCTGTATCTTGTGTTGTTCTATACTGGCTTTCCGTTCATTAATTTGTTGCTTCAAGAGCTTATTTTCAGGCACTATTATATCGAGATTAGTTTTGTATTCCGTTAACTCATCACATTTATTTTTTAACAATTCCGTAATTTTTGCAATATGTGATGTTTTTTGTTCCAACTTGAGATTTAAATCGTTGCAAGTTTCCGTAAGTTGCTCCAATTCCATTTGTATCTTTTGAATAATTTGATGGTTTTTCATTAATTCGTTGGTTTTTAGGTCTATGATGTTTTTTAATTGTTTCTGATTAGCTTCCAGACCTTCAATATTATTTGTTAATTCCATATTTCTCGTCTTCAAGGATTCTATCGTACACGTGAGATCTTCCAGTTGTTTATTATACGTCTCCTTCTCCGACTTCAACTTTATTTGAAATTCAGCTTCTTTATTCTTAATGATTTCTTGCGCTTGTTTTTCCCGCTTTTGTGCGATAATCACAGCTTCTTCATTCACCGTATCAATCTTGGAATATCTGTTAAGTTCAATTTGCAAATTACCGAGATCCATCTCGAGTAGACTGATCTTTTCTCTTAATGCATCCCTGTCGCGATTATTTTCTTGTAAAAGGTGTTCCAAATGTCCAAGTTCTTTCTGCAATTTATTAGATGCAGTTTCTCGTTCGGACAAATCTCCTTGAAGTTTTTCTATTTCGCTTTCTAATTCCTTCGTCCATAATGTCATACGTTTCATTGCATCCACGCTTTGTCGTTTTTCATCCTCGAGTTTATGCTTTTCCTTATTGAACTGGTTCCGCATAATCTTTGCCATCTCATCTTCTTTCATTAAAATCGTTTGTAGAAATGTCTGGAACAGCTCGTCCGTCGGTTTATCTAGAAACTTCTCCGTATCAATTTTTGGATTAAGATACTTGATCTCTTTAATAATATTCTTGGAAACGTTGTTTAATGCGTTCTTGAGGTTTTTATTTTCATCAGCTAGTATCTTATCTTGCTGAGATTTAGATTGGTACTCAGTTTTCATCTTTTCAAATTTATTTTCTATGTCGCGAAGCTTGATTAATTCCTGTTTTAAATAATCGTTTTCGGAAGTGAATTTATTTATTTTTTCATCAAGTTCTGTCAACCTAATTTCTGATTTTTTCGAATAATCGGCGAAATTCTGCAAGATAATAGTTTTCGAATTATTCAATTCTTCATTCATTGCTTTCAATAATTCCAATTTTTTCTCATATTCTTCGTCCAAAGAGTTGTTATCATCATTCAGTTTATCGTTCTGCTTCTTCACTAAATCTAATTCATGTTGAAGGCAGGAAAGGCTTTGGCGTAATTCACTTATTGTTTGTTCCTTCATCAGCTTTTCTTCTTTCAAGCTCTCAGCTTCAACTTCTAGAAAAAGTTTTGCTTTCTCAATTTCTTCATATGTTACGTTAAGTTTTTGCAGCTTTTTGGTCATTTCTGTTATATTGTTTTCAAGAATATTTGCTTTCTCCAATGCAGCAGTACGTAAAAGTTCACTTTCTGATATACTCTGCAGCAATTGTTCGTTAGCGGTCTTTAACGAATTAATTTCATCCAATAAAGATGACTCTTTTTCATTTGTGAATTTGGCAAGATCTGTTTTGACACTTACAGTGTTTTCCTTTAATTTTTCCAAATCAGTTTGCAAATAGCTCATAGTTTTTTCGATATTTTCCAGTCTCGTACAAGTTTTACTTGATGATTTCTTAATGCTGAAATTTACTTCACACGTCGAATCCGTAATAGCGCTATTCTGTGATGTGTCAATCTCATTTGATTTCCCTTTATGTAAATCCGATAATTCATTATGATCTTCTTTCAAACTTTGTAACTCGCTATTTAGAGATTGAAGTCTACCTTCCATGTAACTAACGTTCATATTTTCTGAGACACTAGAATTGAAAGATGCATTACATATGCTTATATTTACATCTTCCTTTGCTTTTAAAATGAGTGAGTCACTTATTGCAGATTTGCGATCAAACTTTCTTTGCGCATCTTCCAATTTGTCACTGAAAGTCTTGACTTCCAGTTTTCCCATTCTTCGACTTTTGCTCAATTCCTTCAGGTGGACACACTCAGTGCAGGCACTTGATTTTAGATCGCTGAGCTTTCTATTAAGACGCGTGAGATTATTAACTTCCTCTTGCAATTTTAAGATTTTCGTTTCGGCAGTGTCCTCCATAGTTTTATCCATTGTATCGTTCATTATTGAGATATTGAGCAACGACGAATTAAAGTCGTTATTGCAAGAATTAGTTTTTCGCGTATTATCTAGATCTTCTAAAGTCTCCATTAACTGATTGGACATTTTCGAGTTTTCTTCGGTTAAAATTTTCACATTAGCTTTCAGTTCCATCAGTTCGGTTTTTAACAGAGTATTCTCTGTTTTCAGTTGTTCTACATGATTGTCATTAATGTCCTCCTTATTTTTCAGTGATAATTCTAGTTTATTTTTTAAAATATTACATTCCTGTCTTAATCCATCATTCTCTTCGATTTTGCACATTAAATCAGTGGAAAGTTCATTGTTTTCCATTGTCAAATATTCGTGTTTTTCTACTAGATTAGTTAATCTATCCTTGTACATACAATCGTGTTCATACAGAAGTGACTTACTTTCCTTTAATGTTTCGAGTTCTTTCATAGTGTCTGCGATATTAGATAATAATTCTGCATTTTTGACTGTTAATGTATTAATCCGTTCTTCGTGTTTCAAATTAATCTGTTCTTCGCTCAAATTTTGTTCAGGCGTCTTCGAACGAAGAGTTTCAATCTGCTCGTTAAGAAGCGCTAAGTTATTTTCAAGATTGAACTTTTCATCTGTTATCTTTGAATTTCGCACGTAAAGTTCATCAATTGTTTGTTGGAAATGGGCAGCTGATTTTTCGGCACATTCTTTCTCTTCTGTTAATTTATTCGCCAATTCACTATTCTCGGTTGTTAACAAATATACAGTTTTTTGTAGATTTTCTATATCCGCTTTCAAACTTTGCACATCGTTTTTTATTTCGTCTAATTCCTGATTTTTCAAAAGAAGATCAGCAGATAACTTTCCACTATCTTCTTCGAAAGATATTCTCGATGAATCCTCTAACACCTTCGACGAATCGCTATTTAATAATATATTTTCGCAATCGTGATCCAACGTCATTGATTTCGTAGATTCTAGTTCTTTTAAATATGCGTCTTCCTTCTGACTCGTTTCCAAATTTGATTTACATTTCATAAACGCTTGTTCACAGTCCTCTTTTTCAGACATCAGTTTTGTAATCTGTGTTTCTAGGTCCTGAATTTTTTGTATTTGTCCAGCTTCTGCAGAAGTACACTGCTCAGCTTTGATCAGTTTTTCTTGCAATTCGTTAATCGTACCTTCAGATTCTTTCCATTTTAATGTAAGGTACTCAATCTCCTTTTTCAGGTCATGAGTTGTCTGCAGTTGCGATTCTTGCTCATTTATTTTATCCTTCAGCAAATTATTATACAGTTCGGTTTCCCTAGATTTTTCTTGTAGCTCACGAACTGAAACTTCTAATTTGCTTCTTTCAATCGCGAAGTTCTCGATGTACTTCTTTTGCTCGTCAATAGTCTTTAGTAATTCCATCTGTTGTACATTGAATTTCTCCTTGACTGAGTTATTACACAATTCCGCTTCTTTTAACTTTTCTTGTAATTCAAAAATAGTAATATTTTGGGTTTCTAATTCCGTTTCTATTTGTTGCACATTTTCATTTTTCGACAAAGACTGTATAAATGATTCCTCTGTATCGCTAATGTGATTTTTTTGCATTGCCAATTTATTTTCTAATAAAACACTACGTTGTTCTACTTCATTAAGTTTTCTTCGCAATTCAGATGCGATATGTTCATATCCATCCTTTTCAGCTGTAAGAAGAGCTACTTGTTTTTGTAGTTCTGGAATATTCTGCACTTCCATTTCCTGTGCCGTCAATTGCGCTATCTTTTCTTCTAAATATGGTATCCTTTGTAATTCTGTTACTTGCGCGTTTAATTGATCTTCTGCTGAAGCATAACGCATTTCAGCTGCAGTTAACGCTTTACGAAGCTTGGCTGCTATATGTTCGAAAGCATCCTTATCAGATGTTATATTTTCTAACTGCTTTTCTAATGTTGAAAGCTTGGTAAGTTTTTCTTTCGTTTCGCAATTATAGTCCTCAATAAACAGTTGCTTCTCCAATGTTGTGAACTCTTTGAGTTGTGAATATTCTTTTGACAAATGGTGAATCTTGTCCCGTAAAGTTTGTTTTGGGGTGTCAGGAGATTGTAGACTATTTATAAATAACAAAAAATTATTAAATTAATTGTAACATAAATAATTCAACCATATTATTTTTTCTGTGTTACTTACCTTGTAGTCTGAGTAGAAGTGTCAATTTTCTCCGGTATGCTATTATAGCTGTCGTTGTTTACGAGTGGTTTGTGAATAATTACATCATCTTTAAATTTAACACGATTCTGTCTACGATACGTAATAAAATCATCGTCGCTATCATTTTCTGTGTCGCGAGCCTCTTCACTTTTCATAAGTTCCACTTCAAAATCGGCTAACTGGTAAACAATTTGGAATGCTACAAGAAATATATAAATATAATTATATATATAATATATATATATATATATATATATATATATATATATATATATATATATATATATATATATATATATAATTTTAACATTTATGTATAACAAAGTATCTTTGCGATAGAGAGCAATAGTGGAGTATTGATTACTGCGTTGACTTAGCATGGCAATGACAGCAGATTCAATTCTACCCAAAGCAAAATAATATTGCAAAATTTACAATCACACTCTCGTAAGACAATAGCAAATCAGCTAGCAACATATTGCCTAGTTAAAACCTCTCAACTTTAGACTCTAAACTTCGGAGTCGACATTAAACATTAAGTCCCAGATGCTCGAGTATCTGCGAGAAATCGCCAACACTCGGAAATTCGAGTATAACATACGAAGAAGATTCAATTTTACTATGTAAAAATGAACCGAACTTACATGTATCAGCCATCATATCCATCAAATCAGTAGATTTTCTATTATGCAATTTGCAAGGTGACATTTCTTCGATTGGCGTTAAATTCATCCATGATGGAACAGATGTATTAAGTTTAGATGCACCAGTGCCACACCAAGTCTGTCGCCTTTTTTCTCTACTCTTAAATGTTTCGTGATTGTTGCGAGTATCCCCATGGACTATCTTGGTTTGTAACAATTGAATACGTTTTTCCAAATTTTGGTTTATACGATCCTTCTCTTGTATTCTGAACTCCATTTCTTGAAAGTCAGCTGGAGCAAATTGTTTCAGTTTCTAAAAAAATATATTTATTATATAAGATGTAATAGATTTCTAAATATTTTTTTCTTAATACATAAAGGATAATTTATTACTTATAATAAAGGATTTATTACTTATTACAAAAATTCAGCAAATTTATATCTTTTTACCATTTTAATTGAAAAAAAAAACAAACAAAAACATTAACATAATTAACATAATACTTGCCTCTAATTCTGCATGTAATTTATCTATTTGTTTTGCATAACGTTTCAAAAGTACACCATCGGACATGACTTCATTCAGTTGAGGCTTATTTTTCACATTTCTGGCTCTCGATGCGAATCTATTCATAAAACAATATATCTATAATACATTATGTGTGTGTGTACAGAGTAGGCCACATAAGTGTACTCAATGAATATCTCAGAAAGATACTGTAGATACCTCCAAAAATTGCTTCTTAAGGTTTGCCCCTCCCCTCGAGTGCTACCTCTATCTCAGCATTTTCAAACAAAAAGAGTATGTTTTGACTTAGGATTTAAATTCTACACAAAACAATAAGACTTTTAATCTTGTCACTTTTTTCAAATTCCCCCGAATTTTTTAGTTATAGAGGGTTTTCTCCAAATTTTGAGCTTTACAAAATGCAGTGTAGCTCCGGCACTGAGATAATTAGATTCTGAAAAAAAGATTCGAAAAGTACATGTCAAGATCTTTCTAACGGTGGGTCACTATACCGCTATACCGAGATAGAGGTAGCACCCTCCCCTCCCCCCCCCCTAAAAATTTCCTCAAGGGGCAATTTTTGAAGGTTGAAGATAGTTTTATCGCAATCTACAGTATCGATATACATAGTATAATTTTTTGCCTCAAAGCAAAATAATGCATCCTTTCCGAGATATTCAATGAGTACATTTACGAGAATCACTCTGTATATATACACAAATTATTTGAAAGGTAAAATTACTAACGACAAAGTGCACTGAGTTTCATCTAGTGCGGCTGGTGTTATCGCACATATTATTGCTGTCATTGCATTGCCTCCTAAAGAAGCTTGAAGTAATCGTGTCAATTTACTATCTCGGAAATTTACGTATTTTTGAGATTCTTGTGGTTCACTCAATTGTTTAATTACTAATGCTAATGTGGAAAGAGATAAGTTTATATGACGTCCTTCCTTAAAGCGTTCTCCAGTAGCACCTGTTTGTCGTGCTCTTTCTGAACCAGCAAGATCTACCATATTCAATTGTGATACTTGTATCGCACCATCTGAATCAGCACCAGCTTCCCGACTCTCAATTGTCTATAACACACAATTTTGTAATTTTTAAGTAGACATGTACCATGTCAAGTATGTGATATGTAAAATTAAAAAAATTTACTTACAATTCTAAATATCGTATGGCTTCTGCTACTTCGCTTATTCATATTTGTTTTACCTATTCTTCTATTTTTATTACCTTTATGCATGATTGATAGAACATTTTCTGGACAATTTGTAACCTCTTCTTTACAATTTACAAATACTTGACCATTTGCATCTTCATGTACTTTTAAATCTATTTCATCTTTAGTTAAGAGATCATTGACTGTTTCCTTATAAATTTCTAAATAAGATACCCTAGAAAATTAATACATTATTAAAGAATTAACTTTTACCAATAGTATGATTTATGTAAATAATAAGAATTCTTTGAAAAAATAGATAAGAAAACTTCAAAAAATATTATTTTATTGTAATAATTATAAGTATATAAACCTCAATAAAAATTCCCGTCCTGGAGTATTGGCTATGGCATCAAATATATGTTCAATAGCCAAAGGTGTTACGCCAATCTCTTCTGAAGTACCCATCATAGTATATGTTTTACCAGAACTTGTCTGTCCATAAGCAAATACTGTACCATTAAATCCATTTACAGTAGCATCAACGATAGGCCTTACAATACTATCGAAGACATCTTTATTACTGGCATCCATATCGAAAATATGATCTGTAAATGTAATTATATATTCAGAACAACACCAGGTGCTATCTATGTAAATTATAACTGTTAAATCATCAATATCTTTGTTTTTAAAGTAAAATAAATATATATTCAAACACTGAACAAGATAACAAAAGGTTAAAATTGAAAAAATGCAATTAACCTCTTCAAGCATACTGGCACATATGTATTATGCCTCATCCCTGAAGAGATTAAAAAACAAAATATGTCATTGAGCCCTAAATAAAGTAATATCAGGATCAAATATATGTTCTTAATCAGATATTCAAAAATATATATTGTATATCAAAATTTGCATTTATGTCGTACCGAATGTGAATCTACCGTCGCCTCGCTTCTTTATCTCTGCGTCGATGGCCATAATGCTGTTTTCTTGAGTCATCCACTGTATTGGCAAATTTTCATCCTTCTCCCGCTTAATCAGCGGTCTAACTTTGATAGCTACTTTAATACTGTCTGACATCGTGATTTTTTTGTTCTTTAAATAAATTAATTAAAAAAGCAAATTTTATCACTGTTTTCCAATTAATATCGCACCCAGTATACCGAACTCAGTATATAACATACCACAGTACATTGAATAGAACTGAAAAGAACTGAATAGTACCGAATAGAACTGAATAGAAGTGAATACTGCTGAATACTGCTAAATACTCGTTGTATTCTGTTCAAATTCAAATGACGTTGCCACGCATGCGTCAATCGTCACGCAGGGCGGTCACGCCAAGAAAACTAGGGCTGCGTTCCGAAATTCACAGCCAGTACTGAAAATCTACAATATACGTAACGTAAACTGTAGATTTTCAGTACTGGCAGTGAATTTTGGAACACAGCCTAGGGACCACTAAACTCAATATTAAAAAATCCTTACCGACTTCGAATTAGAATGTCTTATCGACTCGACAAATTGCTGATTTTAATAAATGTCTTATAAAAATCCGTAATGACTTGTTTATTTCAAATAAAAACGACGGTTACGTCCTCGACACGATCTTATTTGTTTTATCTCGTAAAACAACGTTAGACTTCCGACTCGACTACTTGAAAAGAACGACAGAATGACTATATCACATAATGAACACTGACCTTTAAGAAATATTGCATTGTATAATTTCACATAGAATACTTGTTACAAAAAGATTAACAAAGTTGAAGTACTCGACAAACGATTCGATTGCCTTTCTACTATTTCTCACGGTTGCGACTATGCTGCTCGTCTGTTCGGTAGAGAGTGCTTTTGAAAAATGCTGTTCTCATAAGGTAAATTTTTTTAAGTTTTCTCGTATTTTCGAGAAAGTTCCACCTTTCCTTATTCTCTGCGCCGGATCGCGCTCGCGCAGTATCGATCTTTGTGCGACGTCGACGTCGATCGATATTTGGCAGCCGTGAGCTGGCGCCGCTTATCAGATGATCAATGCGTAATCTTTCAATACAAACTGGCATCGATCATAGATATATTATATATAGATAGAGCTTTGTGAATCTTACGCCTGCCAAGATAAAATTATCTTTTCCTCCCTCGCGCATGTGCAATCACGCATTTATCTTCAAAAAACAGAAGTGTTTATCCATGGTTGCGTTCCGTTTTGCGCATAGCACGCATCGTTCGCATCGCTAATGCTTAGCGCATTGGCTGCGTTTCGTTTCATTATGCGCATGATACATGCTTTGAAACGGAACGATATTGAACGCATTAGAAGCGGAAAATCAAAATGGATTCCACAATAAATTGCGCTATCAATGTGACAATGTTTTTAATTGATGAAATGAGTGACAGTAATAGTAGTGAATCATCAATGACTCTTCCATTATGACTCTTCCTATTTTGACACTTTTTACAATATCGCTATCAATCGCTATATGCAATTACGCAATCGCATGGAACGCATAAGCCGAGAGCACAAGCTTTTACATAATGCGTAATGCATAAGCATAAGGAAATTGATTGGTCTATATATAAGCATAAGCAAATGCATAAGGAAATGGACCAATCAATTTCCTTATGCTTATGCGTTATGCTTTATGCAAAAGTCTGTGCTCCGGCCAATAAGCTGCTGCAACTCAAACTTGAGGTAGCTGATGCGTGTATTATCAACACCACCTATATACAAGGCCTCTCCACTGAAGTCATGACGTCATCACTAGTAGGCCATTTGTCGTTCAGTCTTGTAATGTAAAACGCGAATTTTTGAACAGTGTAGTGCGTTTTAGTAATAATTTTTGTTGTGGATAGTTGCTGAATGCCTGTATTATTGAGGTAAGTCATAATTTTATTAATTTACCGAATTATAAACGTATTTAGAAAACTGACAATAATAGGTTAGATTTGGATCATACTTCTTTATTATTGAAATTATGTATTTCTTTTATAGCAATGCCTTTCAAATGTTGTGTGCCAAATTGTAATGGCAATTACAAAAATGGGCCAAAGGTTGCAACGTTTTCTTTTCCAAAAAATGAAGAAATAAAAAAAAAATGGTTACGTGCTATTTGTCGACAGAATTTTTGTCCTACAAATAGTTCTAAAGTAAGTTAATTCAATATATTTATAAATAAAATTAATATTATAAATAATATGTTAACGATCAATTTGTTAATTTATAAATAATCTCAAGACAAAAATTTATGCATTACACTTGTTTTTACTCATCATCATGTTTTAGGTATGCGAATTACATTTTCACTCTTACGATATTGAACGAGAAACGAGCCATTATAATGAAGCTAATGGGAAATTGTTAACTGCTCCATTGCGACATCCACGTTTAATTAAAAGTAAGTGTTTCAAAATAATTTCAAAAAATTCTACAGCTGCAATATTTTAATATTCTAATTGTATTTATCTCAATTACATGTTTATTGTTTTCATCAAGATAATACTTTAGTACAAGATAGTACTTTAGTTATATTTATGAATTACAAGAATGAAATTACAAATATTAACACTTGGAATTCAATATTCCCCATAACGAGACAATGAAATAGTATTCCTTTTCTCATTGCATTTTTTGTTACAGACGCTGTTCCAAGTCAGTTGCTATACAATCCTCAATACTTAACAGAAAGTGAAGCACCTCATCGAGAAAGCCCAGCAAAGAAACGTTTAAAGATGGAGAATTTTTTGATCGAGCAAGCAATTGCAAGCAGCATAGAATCGAGAAAAACGTTTGATGAAAAAAACGGATTTTCTACGTTAGAAGAGTTGTATGTGAAATTGAAGGATCGCATTGATATACACAAGTGGATAATTTCGCACAAAGACACTACTATTTATTTCTTTCATGTAGAAGATACATCATATCCAAATGTTAACAGCTTTAGTTTATTTCATTCTTTTGCAGTCTGGCATTGTTTTTTTTTTATGGTATCATTTTGTCTTTTTGTATAATTATTTAAAAAGATGTTACAGAGTGTATGTATAATTTTTATAATTAAGATTTGAGCTGAATGCTTTGAACAACAGTGTCCTGAAAAAAGTTCCAAATACAAATCACGTATAGTTTCGAATGTTAGAGTCTTGACAATTTGACGTTGATTTTTTTGTACGAGAAAATCGTGATCATTTTCTAGTAATTTTTGGACAATTAAGAAAGTATATGCTGCACACGTAATAACGTCTTCGTTGGGATTACATAAACCTCCTCGATTGTTTGCTGCTATTAAAGCTGAAAAATGTATGTTGTCACCAATTAAAAAAATTTTGCAGTATTCGCATTTCAATTTTTTAATCGCTGAATATGAAGTGTATCCTGCTACATATACAAGAAGTGGCCAAGTATCGTCTTCGATATTGTTAAGGTCCTCTTCATCAATAACACATGCATTTCTTAATAATACGGGTATATTTCCTAATAAAAAATCAATTTAAAATGTCAATGCATGTTTTTAAAAAATGTTGTA